CTGGGGAATCGACGATTCATTGTGTCTGTGTGTTTCCCTCCTGACAAGTGGCATGTCAGGCTCGCTCGCGACGAGCAGGGAGTGCCGATATCAGCCTCGACGTGCGCCCTCGGTCGACGGCTCCGATACTGCACGGCCGCCGCCACCATCGCAGGGGGCATGGTGGGGAGGTCGACGGGCTCGCCGAGGTCGTCGGCGAAGCGCCTCGGGGAGGCGCACGTCCAGCCGAGGCGCCAGGCCGTGGCGACGGCGCCCGCCACGGGGCCGGCCACGGCGGGGCCACGGCGACCTGCCGCGGGCGAGCACGGCCACAGCGAGGCGGCCCCGCGGCAGCTCGGAGGACGGTGTCGAGCTCCGCCGCGGGTGCCCCGCCCTGCCAATTGGCAGGGCTGGGCACCCGCGGCTGGGCACCCGCGGCGGGCTGGGCACCCGCGGCACCCGCTGGGCACCCGCACCCCCAGGGCTGCGCCACTGGGGGGCTGGCGCATTGATGTGCCATGCCCCAGTGGCGCAGTGGGGTGGCGCGCGCGGCGTGGGCGGGGGCCAAGCCGCATCCGCGCCAGCATCGGAGGCCGCGAGGCCGACGTCGCCGTGCCGGCTTTTGTCCTGGCGGCAGGGCCGCGCGGAGAGCGGCGACCCCGACGCTGTGCAGGTGCGTGCTGGGCGCACCGACAGTGTCCACGCCGTGCAGCATACTGCAGTCGAACTCGATTGGACAGGACACGCGAGAGGACACAAGACCCTTCCGAGGGCCACATTGCCGCAGGAATGTAGGAAGCATGGGTCGCGAGACACAGGACACAAGGGCACCCTTGATTTGGCAGGGTCGACCTTCTAATCTGGGGGCCGACTGTAGGGCTGCCCATCGCCTTCACCACCCTGGTCACGTCGACGCGCTGGTGCCTGAGAGCCCGTGCCCGCGGGATACGGATTTTGAGATCTTTCAGGCGGCCTCTCAGCACGCCCGCCGACCGCGCGCGGCCGTCAGCGCAGGGAGTGCCCCACATCTTTACGCCGCGCTTGGGCAACAACAACCGTCGCGTGGACATGAGCAACACCCTCACAGCGAGGGTGGGCCTCGATACGACAACAAACAACTGCTGCGGCGAGACCGTCAACAGGAGACACTGCTCGAACGCGTCGACGAAGAACTCCGTGCCACGAGACACCGCGGCGAGGGCCTCCTCAGAGAAGCCAGACGCAGTGATGGTCAAGTCGTCCACGCACAGGTACACATGCAGCAAAGGCCAGCGAAGCATTGCGATGAGCATAGACTCGTGCAGCCGCATCTGGAGCTCCACCGTGGCGAAGCCCGAACCTGCCGTGATGCGGCGAGTGGCGATGAGCAAGCACGAAAACGTCTCCTCTACGCCGATGGACCGCGACGGTCGGTAAGCCGCTAGGGACAGGCGCAGCACCAGGTCGAAACCCAGCCGCAGGGCGGCTGGCCGCTCCAACGCCTTCACTGGGTCAAGCAAGGACGCGACATAATGGCGCGCCGAGGCCGCCGAGGCCTCGGCAGCGAAGGCTGCCGCCCAGGCAGCGCGCTGCGCGACGCGCCCGGAGCTGCTAAACACCAACGGAGGTGCATGTGCCGCGTCCCAGGCGCGGGCCGCGTTGGCCCTCGCGCGCATCCGAATGCGGACGAGCGTCGGAAGGAGGCCAACGGGCCTCAGGCCACCGTCCTGGCTGGGGAGCTGCACGATCAGCACCAGGCTGCACGCGGCCGTCCAGCAGCCGAGGCGCTCCGCCGCGAGCAGGATATGGCAGCGCTGGAAGCACGCCGCACTGGGGAGGCATTGGAGCGCCCGTGGAACCAAGTGGTCGGTCCTGAGGCCAGCCCCTACGGGAAAGGACGCGATGGCCTGGCCCAGGCTCCTCGTCGTGTGCAGCTGGGGCTGCGAGAGCAGGTGCGCGGGAAAATGCGGCTCCTGGTGCTCCTCCCTGACGGCCCACTGGCCAGCCCGGCCGCGAGCTTCGCGGTCGAGGGCAGCTTGCTCGGACGGTGGCGCTGCGGCCCGCCAGGCGCGGCCGCCCAGCGAGACCTCGGCGCGGCCGGCATCAAAATCATCGCCGTACTCAAGGGGGTCGGCATCGGGGACGCTCTCCTCGCAGCGTGGGTCGCCAGCAGGTGAGCGCGCCCAGCCACCGATGCCCCGCACGTACCTGAAGGCCAGCTGTCCGGGGGCAGACGCCGAGGTGCCCGAGGCGGGGCGTCCAGCAGCTGGTTCCCACCGGAAGAGTGGCCGAAACCACGGCGCCGGCACCCCGGTCATGGTGGTGAACGTGCCGCGAGCCGCGCGGTACCAACTGCACGATGGGACTGGAATCCCAGTCACTGGGGACGGTGGCAGCAACGGGCCCTGAAATAGCTCGCCATCGACGCGTCGTTGGCAAACCAACCGGTGCACTGCCTTGCGGCGAGCATCACCAGCCAAATACAGCCTGATAGGGAAATGGGGGTGAGCCCACCATTGTCGATCCAGCTGATGCCCAGCACTGCATGCGCAGTGCTGCGGCTGACGACGAAGCCGTTGCACGTGGAGATGGCCGGGGAGACGATGCGGACCCGCGCGATGTCGAGCCAGCCATTGTCGGTGAGCATCTGCGGCGCGATATTCCAGTCGCCTGCGAGCACCCGTGGGCCAGGCTGAGTGCCCAGCAGCGCGGCAGCCCCGGCAAGGGCGTGCAGGTCGGGCTCTGGGATGCCCCGGCTGTGGAACCACCAGATGCTGCACAAGCGGATGCCGCCCTTCAGGACCGCACCGACATGGGCCGCCCGCAGGCGATGATGCATGCCTCGGCGATGGACAGACCTCCATTTAGTAAAACGTGGTTTAGTGAAAACGACCTCGGGCCCAAACCTGGCGGGCGCAGGCCTGGAAAATGACGGCCGCGGCGCCCTCTCGAGAACCGAAAACGGACAATTCACTAATCGACGTGTCAGGGTAGGAGGTCTGTCCACCCCCGAATGCCATCCGAAGACAAACCAGCGTGAGGATTCATGCCGGAGCGGCGCCGGCAGAGAACGCCCACTCCGCCACACGCTCGGTCGCGGGCAGTGGAAGGCGCAAGACCTCGGTGCGATCTCCACGTGGCCCTCCTGGCCGCCCGTGCAGCTGCTGCGAGCCGAAGCTCGGAGTGGATCTCGTGCTCCCGAGTCGAGAGCGTGCCGGCGGATGCCCTCGGGATGAACTGGGCCGGGCGCGTGACCCAGCAGTTGGCGCTGGCCGTGTCGATGGTCCACACGCCAGAGGCCCGCACGTGCAGGCTCCCGAGGGCCACCTGGGTATCGGGTTGCGGCCGGTCTTCGGCGGGAGCAGCGTGACGTCGTGCAGGGCGAATGCGACGACGCGTTCTGACTGGGCCCCGCAGGAGGCCGAGAAAAGGACCAACGCATCGAAATCCCCCTCGCTGGGACCAGCGGCACGACGGCGCCGGTTATGACAACGGGGCCGACGACGACGAATATAGCAACGGCGTCGCGGACGACGATAACGACGCAGACACCCGACACCCGACACCGCCGACGGCTCCGGCGACAACGACCACGACGACGCCGACGACGTCACCAACGACGAGGGCGACGGCGACGGCAGTGACGACCACGAGCGCCACGAGGGCGACGACGACGACGACGCCGCCGCCGACGCCACCCCCGACGACGATGCCGACGCCGACGCCGTCGACGACGGCACCGTCGACGAAAGCGTCGACTGCGACGACGACGACGACGACGACGACGTGCAACGATGCGGCCTCGGCGTCTCGAAGTACAGGTCGCGGAGGCTGGGCGGGCTGCCGACGGCGCAGGCCTTCGTGCGTGGGGGGGGTGCGCTCGGAGGGGAGGGGGCGGAGGCGGTCTCGCTGAAGGGCCCGCAGGGGAGGACGAGGGGGAGGAGGGAGGAGGAAGGAGGAAGGAGCGAGGGAGGAGGGAGGAAGAGAAGGAGGACGGGGGAGAAGGAAGAGGAGGAAAGCAAGAGGAGAAAGAGGATAGGGGGAGGAGGGAGGAGGACTCCACATTCCTTGCAGCTCAGGACGCGGGCTCGGACGAGGCATTCCGCCTTGCGAGCAAGCTCTACCAGCACACCCCCGAGCTGCTGCCCTCCCCACCGCTGCGTGGGAGGAGAAAAAAAGGGAGGAGGAGGACGACGAGGAAGGGGACCGAGATAAGGAGGAGGGGGAGGAGGAGGAGAAGGAGGAGGAGGAGGAGGGGAAGGAGGAGGAGGAGGAGGAGGCTGATGGTGATGCTGATGCTGGCGGTGAGAATGCTGGTAATGCTGATGCTGCTGAGGAGGATGCTGCTGGTGGTGGTGGTGGTGGTGGTGATGATGATGATGATGATGATGATGATGATGATGATGATGAGAATGATGCTAGTGATGAAGATGGTGATGGTGGTGATGATGCTGATACTGATGATGACGATGATGATGATACTGAGGATGCTGATGATGATGAGGGTGGTGGCGGTGATGATACGAATGGCTCTGATGATGCTGATGCTGCTGTTGCTGATGATGTTTATGCTGTTGATGATGATCGTGAATATGATGATGCGGCTGCTGATGATGATGATGGTGATGAAGGTGATGATGATGATGATGATGATGATGATGATGATGATGATGATGATGACGATGATGATTTGTTTTGCCACGCACGCGCCTGAAAGATGCCTACACGAGGCCTATCGCAACAGAGTGCACGCGGCAAGTCCGCACTGGCATGGGGCAAGCAGTTGGCTCATTGGCCAAGCCGGCCGCTCCCACACACACATGCTTTCCCACAGGCAGGCGGCTATCTTCAACCGCCAGATCATTAAAAGTATCATGACAATGACCGGCGAAGGCGTTAGCCCGCATAAGGGGTATGCCAACCGACGAAATGTGTGATTTCCCCACCCTCCACGCAAGCTGGTGCACGCAGCTCACGATACCCGTGCAAAACCTACCACGCACAAGGAGGACCGAATGCCCTGTGACTCCCGCGCTGACTGTTCACATCGCCTTCTTGACGCCTGCATCCTCCATCTTGATGTCCATGGAAGACAGGTTGGACTGGAGGTCTCGCGCTTGTCCGGTTCTCTTAAACATCAGGCCACTCTTGACTATCAGACCAAGCCAATACATGTGCAAGAGAAACAAAACACAAAGCGCAAAATTGAGGAAGCCCCAGCCGTAAATGCCTCCGGGCCCCGCCTCGGCGATGCTCTCGACCCATGCGCTACGCATGAGGTAGACGGGAAAGACATAGATCCTCAACCACACGAAGGCTGTGATGAGCCCGAAATAGGACACGGCTATCAAGTGGTTCCAATTCGTGTCGACGATGGCCTTCGACGCGTAGATGAGCACGTCTGTGGTCCCGTGCAGCACTATCACAAGGCTGCCGACCCGCACGTAGTTCAGCAGGTAAGAGAACGTGACGAGGTAGCAAGATATCGTGTGGTGCAGCAGCATCTCCCAGAAATCAGGCAGCCGCCTGTCAAGGAGCAGCATGGCGATCTCGCTGAACGAATAGCCGACTGCTGTAAGGTAGAAGCGCCTCAGGTCTTCGGGGACCTCCTGGAAGGGGAAGCTGCCCGTCCAGCAGAAGCGCGTCTCCCCACGCCCGCCCAGCACCCACGGGGCCCAGGGCTGGTCCTTGAGCAGTGAGGCCCCCCAGGTGGCCATCGCCGCATAGTAGAAGAACTTGAAGACAGCATCGCAGCACCGGAGCACTCTAGCCCCGTACATGGCGTGAGACCATCTCTCCTTCTTGACGATCATCGCCTGTGCGACAAGCGAGAAAACGGGCCGGAACAGCAGCTGGGCGACCGTCAAACCTAGCCCGATCCCCGCGGCGGCCAGCAGGTCGGAGCAGGCCGGGTACTCGTCGGGCCTCCGGAGCTGCCGAGAGAGGACCTCCTCGCGCACGCCTGAGCCGACTGTTGCGGCCCAGCCAAGGGCGACCGCGACCAGGGCGCGGAGCGCGCGGTCCTTGGCCCCGCCCATGGCTTCGCGGGCTGCGGGGTCCTGCGCGGCGTGAGGCTCGCCCCTTCTGCGACAACGAACGGCTTGAGCCAAAATGGCTTCAGATGATGATGATGATGATGATGCTGCTGCTGATGATGATGATGATGACGATGATGATGATGATGATGATGATGATGATGATGATGATGATGATGATGGTGATGATGCTGATGATGATGATGATGACGATGATGATGATGATGATGATGATGATGGTGATGATGCTGATGATGCTGATGATGATGATGAGAAGGAGGAGGATGATGATGAGGATGAGGATGATGAGGATAAGGATGCGAGTGATGATGATAATGATGATGATGGTGATGATGATGATGATGATTTGGTTGATGTTGATGCTGATGGTAATGATGCTAATAGATGGTGATGGTGATGGTGATGGTGATGGTGATGGTGATGGTGATGGTGATGGTGATGGTGATGGTGATGGTGATGGTGATTATGATGTTGATGATGCTGTCGCTGGTGGTGATGGTGATGGTGATGGTGATGGTGATGGTGATGGTGATGGTGATGATGATGATGATGATGATGATGATGATGCCGATGGCGACGATTATGATGTCGATGGCAGAGCCGTTGGTGATGGCTTTCGTGGTGATGAGGATGGCGATGATGATGCCCATGGTGCGGAGGAGAAGACGCAGGGAGGAGGGCGAGGTGCGGCGGGAGCAGGAGGACCAAAACCCCTAGCCGGCCCCCCCGTGGGCGCAGTGGCGAACCCTGGCGTCCAGCCCGGGGCCACGACCCACGGGCGAACCCCCAGGGCTGCCGGCCTGGGCCGGCCACGGCAGCAGGCGCGGCAGGGCGCCAATGCACCCGCGCAGGGACCGACCGTCCCGGCGATTCTGGAGGCCCACCACGAGATGCGCTCAGAGCGCAGCGAGAGTGATCGGAACAGAAGCGCCGCTCTTGGCACTCGTAGCCGACGGGCTGCAGCAAGACTGTCTCGGCCAGGACGACGTCTCTCAGAGCACGCCGTGCAGGCCGCAGAGCGTTCCCAGAGCAGTCTGTGGTGGGCCTCCACATGCAAGCCAGGACTCTTCGCCACTGCTGGAAGCACCGAGAGCGCGCGCGCGCGCACGCGGCCGCGCTCCACAGAGCGGAGGGGCAAGGGCGGCGCCTGCGCTCCGTGGCCCACGGACGGCGTGCGGGTCGGGCGGGCGGGTCCTGGCGAGCGAGTCGCGCGGGACATGGAAGCGGACGGGCGGGCTTCAAGCGGGCGAGCGGGCGGACCCTGCGGTGAGGAACGTTTGCTCAGCGTGTCGCGGCGGCGGCCTCGGCGACATGCTGCCTACGCCTTGCAAGCGGATGGCGTGTCGCTCCGCACCCCGCGGGGAGAGGGGGATCGGAGAAGCTCGGGACGTTGACGCTCGAGGAGGAGGAGGAGGAGGAGGAGGAGGAGGAGGCCGACGCTCAGAGGAAGAGGTACCCATCTCGCCACCTTTGCCTCGTTTTTCCCTGTTGGGGGGCCTCCTGGGAGGCCCTCGTCGCCACCGCTGGATTCGCCTCGAACTCCTTGTCAGAAAGTACCCGGGGTGAGGCCCGGGGAATGGCGGTATCGATACCTTTATGTTGTCCCCGTACTCCTCATCCCTCCGGTTCCTCCTCCTCCTCCTCCTCCTGCTCCTCCTCCTCCTCCTCCTCCTCCTCCCAAGTGGCCCCCCCCAACAAGGAAAAATAAGGCAAAGGTGGCGATATGGGTACCTCTTCCTCCTCTGAGCGTCGGCCTCCTCCTCCTCCTCCTCCTCCTCTTCCTCCTCCTCCTCCTCCACCACCACCACCACCTCCTCTCCACATCGCCCTGCTCGTCGCAGCCACGCCGTGGCCGCCCCGACTTGCCGACCCCACCCCTGCGGGCGCCTGGCTGCCAGGGCTTCGCCCGGCCCGCTCGCTCTCTGGCCTTGCGCCCAGGGAGGAGGAGGATGGCGCCTCGTCGTCGTCGTCGTCGTCGTCGTCGTCGTCGTCGTCGTCGTCGCCTCCTCCTCCACCTCCTTTTCCTCGTTCCCCTCCTCCGCCTCCTCTTTCTCCTGCCCCTCCCCCTCCTCCGCCTCCTCTTCCTCCTGGGGCTGGGCGGGAAAGAGGAAGGAGAACGGCTGGTGAAAGAGGAGAGGGGAGGGGGGGGAGATGGAAGGGGCAGCGGAAGGGGAGGGGAAGGGGAGGAGCAGGGGGGGGGGCAAGGGGAGGCGTAGGGGCAGGTGTCTGGGGAGGGGGAGGCGGAACCACACGCACACACACACACATCGACGTCAGGGATGAGTCACGAAACCAAATGAGCTGGCACGCAAGAAACCAAAAAGAGAAGTCAGCAGTGGACCCCTCGAAAAATCCCGTCGCAAAGGGGCATAACCCTCTTGCTCGCGTAGCGCGCATGCGCCAGGCTCGGAGCACCAGTACTGGGCAAGGCGAGCCGTGGCGGAGGTGAGGTGGAGAGAAACGCTGATGCACCAAAACGTGCGGGCAGGGAAGCGTGGCACGGCAAAAAAAAAGTTGGGCGTCGGGCGTCGGCGCCACGTGGGGCCATCGCGCGCAAACACGAATCATCAAGCAAACCTCGCGCAGAAAAAAGGGCACAATACGAGAGGATCATCATCGCATTCGTTCGCCCCCAAACGGGGCACGATGATCCTGCCCGCGCTCGCTCGCGCAACTCCGGGCATACGACGAAAGGATCTTTCAGCCAGCATGAGAAGGCTCGAACAGGCTCACTGGCAGAACCCCTCCCCTAAGGAGCCTCAGGGAGTTTTTTGGTTCGTTGCATAAAAACAATGCGTTTCCAGGGCTGGGCGACACAACTGTGACGCTGCTGGATCTCGGCCGCGCCGCCCTGGCAGGCCGCTCGAAGGAGGGAAGCCTCCAACCGAATCCTACAAATCCGGCCGCCTCGCGATCCGCAGCTTCGGCATGAGAGCCGGAATCGCCACGCGAAGTGTGGCCTGCGCGGGGCTCGCTTCGCGCATGGGCGGGCGTCGCGTGCGCGGCTCCTGCACGCAATCACTTAAAACTGCCGATGGCGGCTGGCGCGCGGCGCGGCGCACCCCGCGAAAGAGGCTGAGGTGGAGGGGGAGCTGGCACGCACGAAGCGGGCGGGTCTCGAATGGCGGCTCGGCTCGGCAGGCATCGCGGCGCGGGCTACTTGCCCAGGGCGTCGAGCCACGTGCTGAGCTCCTCCTCGAGCCAGCCAGGGGGGGATCACCCCCGTCTGGACCACGGCCACCCCCTCGGCGCGCAGGGCGCGAAGAAGCAGGTACCTGTGCGGGAAGGTCTTCATCGCAATCGGGATCTTCACGTTGTTCTCGTCGTGGCACTTCCCCCAGCGCACCGTCTGGACGTGGCTCTCCAGGTCGAGCTTGCTGATGCTGGGCTGTTCCATCTCGTCCTCGTCGCCGCTGACCGCCTTGAGCCACGTTCAGCTCGCCCTTGATTGCTCCGCCCACGTCGCACGTTGCGAGCGCCTCCACCAGTGCCACCAGCAGGGAGGCTGCGGGATATCCGAGTGTCTTGGAGCCGTGGGCGCTCGACCTCGTTGCGGAACACCTCCAGCGCGTCGCTGACGGCCGACGCGGCCTTGTGCTTCATGGGAAGCGTCATTGCGTCGACCGTGCACGCCAGTGCGAGGCGGCGGCGATTCGCCGTCTGGAGCAGCAATTTGCCCATCACCAGGAGCATGGTGTGCGAGCGCTTGTCCTCGGAAGTCCACGTCTTCTCGCCGCGCTGCCCTCGGCGGCGGCGCCCGCCGCGCTTGCGACGAAGCGGGCGCTGGCCCGCGCCCCTGGCCATCCGGGGCGTCGGCAGGGGCCCTGAGAGCGGCTGCGTCCGTGGTCTTCGCCTTCTCCGCGGCGTCGGCGGGCGCGGCTGCGCTGCCGCCAGGATCGGACGCCGTCGAGGACGCCAGACGAGAGGCGCCGCGAGGCCCTCTGCGGGCGAGCCGCCGCCGCCGCCATCGCCGTCGGGCGCCAGCACGGGCCAAGAGGGGGTGGCCGCGATGCCCCGGCCCCGCAAGGGGGGCGGAGCCTCGCCGGTCGGCGCCGCGGGCGCCGCGCGAGGCCGACGGGCCCGAGGGCGCGGTTCAGCGGCAGGTGCTGGTGTTGTGGATGCCACGACAGTGGACACCCGAACAGCCCCATCATTAAATTTGAAATGCGTTTGGAATGTCGGAACAGGGTTCAAAGCATGTCCTACACATGATGTTGCAGGTTTCGTTACACTATGTTAAACACATGCTGCAAACATCTGGAAATTATCTGGCAACATGCTTCCTCTCCATTGATCGTCCTCCACAGTGTTGGTGGCGGATGTACCCCGCGATGCAGCAGGCGTCACGGCGCCGCTTGGCAGGCGCGGCAGGCTTCCGAAGCATCGGAAGCCTCGGGCGGCATTCCGGGCCGCCGCGCGGCCGCGGCGGGGTCGGCGGGCGCAGCGCCGCGAGCCCGAGGGGTCGGAGCGGCCAAGCAACCCAGCCTGCGCCATGGGCCAGCAGGCTACGGGGGGGGGGGGGGCGCGCGTCGCCACGTGGCGTCTCAGGCCCTCGCTTCCACAGAACTCACGTTTGCACCGACTGTGTGGAAGGCGCGTCCAACTACGGGCACATGCGAGCACTTGTCAGGGTCCACGCATATACGTGCTGGGTTTGCTGCGGAATGCATCGGCCCTGTAACCGCGATCGGCGATGATGACGACCGTTATGGTCTACGTTCGAGAAGATGGTATCGCACATCAGACACTTGTTGTCCATCCTAATCGTCGTGATGATGGGGGGCAAGCCGTGCCCTGGGACCTTCGACTGAACCTGATGGATCGTAGGCCTATGGGGGAGGCGGGGTGGGAGAAGGAAGTGAAGCGACGGGAAGGATTGGAGAGTGGATGGGACGGGTTGGAGAAGATGAGAGGGCAATGAAAAGGGTCGGAGAAGGAGAAAGGAGGGGGGAAAACGGAGTGGGGGAGCAAACTATCACATA